CCATGTAAAACTATACTTTATTTAACCTGCCATTGTAGCAGTGTGCCCAGTAATGAGTTTCACCAACATTAAATATTTATTGGGATCTTCTAAGTACAGGACATAGCACCAGGGGGAAAGGGTGGGAATAAAGAATTCTCTATCCTTAAAGAAATGATACTCTGATTTTTAAACAGGATGTCTAAAAGAGATGTATACAAAGAAACATATCTGTAATGTGGAAGTAACACCTCACCTCAAAAGAAAGTTGCATATCTTAACTAAGGTGTTTGTAAAGGTCTCAGCACCTAGTAAAACTCAACAAATGGTGGCTGTTATAATTTATAACTATTATTATGAGAAGAATCATGAATAATAATGTACTATATTAAAGAAATTTCATTTCTTTCAAGTGGAAAGATGGGTAAATAAAATATTTTGCATATTATTTTACATTATCAAACTTTTTTTTTTTTTTGGTGGACTAGGGTTTGAATTCAGGGCTTCACACTTGCAAAGCTGGTGCTTTACAGCTTGAGCCACACCTCCAGTTCATTTTGCTCTGGTTATTTTGAAGATGGGGGTTTTGCGTGTCAAAAATACAGAAACTCATCCCAGAACTACTAAATCAAAACTTTGCATTTTAGCAAAATCCCAGGTGATTCACATGTACATAGTGTCTGAGAAACTGCTGTAATATATTGAGGTTTAATACAATAAACAAGATATGGGATATCATATTCACCTCCAAATTGGTGACATTTAAGTAACTTGATATGTCATTAATCAGCCTCATTTTAGAAGAGAAAATCAGTATCACTTTAGAAGAGAAAAACACAATAAAACAGATATTATAGACGGTATTTTGATATCTTTTATGGCTTTTGGGAAGCAGTGCTGGGGATCAAACCCAGGGCCTTGCACATACCACAGAACTACATCCTTTATGTTTATCTATTAATGACTTCTTGGGAAAAAGCCCATTTTACATTTAGAGTTTGTGTGTGTGTGTGTGTGTGTGTGTGTGTGTGTGTGTGTGTGTGCGCGCACGCACGTGCATATGTGTGCATGTGCGTGTGTGTGCGTGTGTGAACTCAGGACCCTGCACTTGCTAGGCAGGTGCTCTACCACTTGAGCCACACTCCCAGCCTTACAATAAATTTCTTATTTTATAATTTTCATCCAAAATGTAACAAATCTGTTTTTAAAAAGTAGATCTAATTTTTTTACTAAACTTTTTTCCCTTTCAGTGCTGGGGATGGAGCCCAGGGCCTCGGACATGGTAGGCAAGTGCTCTACCACTGAGCCATACTCCCCAGCCCCTAGACATTTTTTAAGGCTACTGATAAATTAAGGTACTGAATGCAAATAGATACCTACTTTTCATATTCTTTCTTCAATGCCCAATCTAAGTAGGAAAGATAATCACTTGCTATATGCTCATCAAAATAAACACTAAATTGGGCAGGAGGTACTGGAGGCATGGCACAAGCAGTAGAGCACCAGCTTTGCAAGTGACAAGCCCTGAGTTCAAATCCAGTTTCACCAAAAACAAACTTGTCTGAAGGTGTGGCTCAAGTAGTAGAACACCTGCCTAGCCAGTGTAAGGCCCAGAGTTCAAACCTCAGCACTTACAAAAAATAAAATGAACATAAAACTTATACAATATAAACACAAATTATTTGGCTAGTATACAAACTTTTTTTGTACTGGATATTGAGCCCAGGGCCTCTCACATGCTAGGCAAGTGCTCAGCATAAAATCTGTGCGAAGGCACAACTTAGAAAAAATATGCTTCAAATAATTTCAAAGGCTTAATGTCATTAAAATCAGATCAAATAACTTGTAAAATTTTTATCACAGTTGATGCTCAGTATTGAACTTCTATGCTAGCAAAAACACTTAATAGCTTTAAGTCATTAGGTAAAAGTTGTTTACATAAAAGGTCCTATACTGGCTAGGTATGCGGACACTGGTCTGCAGTTCCAGCTACTCAGGAAGCTGAGTCAGGAAGACTATCAGTTTGTGGCTAGCCTGGACTACAAGAGGCAACATATCAAGAAAAGAAAATTTGCATGCTTTACAAATTATGATGAAGTGGGCCAAATCTTCCCATTCATTACATCTACTATTGAATTGAAATACAACATAAACTTTTACAGAAACAGTATTTGGAAGCTATAGCTTACAAATTCTGAAATCAATTCTATTTTTAAATTTTCTTGTCAATGGCGACTATGCTATAAGTAAAAAATAAGCTAGAAAGGTATACCTATCTTTTTATTTGTAATAATTAAAGCTAATATTTCTTGAACAGTTAACTATGTGCCAAACACTGTGTGAAATATTTTTCTGCATGTAATTTCATTTGATTCTCAAATTCCATGAGGTAGATTATATATATTATCACTATTTATTAGATGAGATCAGATTATATTTTCACCATTTATCAGATGAGAGGTTAAGACCATTGCACAAAGATTGGTTACCTGACATTATCAATACTGACATTTTTTCCAAATACTTTTTCAATTACTGTCAAGGAGGAAATTAATTAACTTCAGTTTCATTGAATTTCATCTTTACTCCCCTCTTATCCAGGCCTTGAGTGAAACTTGTTTAACATGAAGCAACATGGAAGATGGTAAATAGAGAATCAATAATTTAAGATAATTCTTCAAATTCTGATGGAGGAAATATGACTTGATTAAATATAAAATGGGCACTTAAACTTCTAAGTAGTACCATATTTTGGAGGAAGTTCAAATACATGTAATTATTTTGATAACTATTGCTAATTATTTAATTTATACACATGCAAGTCTAAATAAAATGTAAAACAGTAAATATCATATTTTAAAACTTCCTATTTTCTACCCTTTAATCATTAATTTCTCAGACCCCGTGAAAATGAATTTTTCACATAAGTGTTTGTGCTTTTACCATTAATGTCATCATTCATATTTGAAGGACATCATGATTTATTTCCTAAATTTAAGGTCTATTAGCAAAAATATTTCTTGCTACTAATTTATTTAAGCCTAAATAAAAATCAAGACAGGCACTTCATATTGGCTTTGGAATTTGCTGTCTGTTGCCTGTAACAAGTCACTCTGGTTTATTTTGGATGACCCACAAAGCAAGAGTTTGGGTTCATCATTGGTTTCAGTTTATTTTTAGAGATGTGGGGATACAAAAGAAGTTCTTGATTTGTAGACATTTAAAATGGCTTGCATGGTTTTCTTCAGGAAGGAAGTATGCTGTCAAACTTCAGGACCACTAAAGTGTTCAAAATCTTTCTTCTGTATTTTATCACTCAATATATAAAATAACACTGCTATTAACCTCAATGGAATTTTATGGGAATGGAATGAGTTTGTAAGTTTTATCAAAGTAGGGATTTCCCTCCTCCCTTGAAAAGCTATAACTGACCAAGTATAAATAACCAAAAGGATACAGATTCTTTCTATCTGTTTCTTACAAATTGTAGTCTACAAAAGCACAAATTTTATGGCCAAGTCTTTTTCTCCTTGTCTTTTTTTTCTAAAAGATGCAGAAAATGAGGTGGGGGGGAATATTATATACTATACTGTGGTCCACATTTCAGGTAAGAAAAATAATCCAAGTGACATAGGAGATTGGAGGTAAATTTTCAGGTATCAATAACTTACAAGATTTACAAGTGAATTTTTTTCTTTTTAAAAAATTTTTATTATCATATTGTTGTACTGGGGGTATATATCTTAAATTCACCCCTCCATCATTCTCCTTTATCCCTCTTCCCCCATTTTTAGAACAGTTTTAACAAGTCCCATTTTTCCATTTTTGTACGAGTGTATATTTTCACCATATCCTCCCCCCGCCACACACACTCACAAACAGAGGACCTGTTTCCTTTTCTCCATTTTTGAAAAAGACGTTTTTGTTTAAGATAACTATACAGGGAGTCCCATTGTGAGATTTCCATGTATATGTGTATTATATCGTGAATTGGTTCATTCCCTCCATTTTTCTCCTACCCTAGTCCCCTTCTTATAGTGATTTCAGATTTTAAAATTCTGTATTCATTCTTCTGTAGACAGTACATCAACCATATCCACCTTCTTTACTTCCTTCTTTTATCTTCCCTTCCTGTTAGTGTTCTCCCTTTAGCTGACCTGTTTTATTCTTGTCCTTTGCTGTTTATGAATTTTATTTTTCATTAGCATTGTTTCAATGTTTTCTATGTGAATATTTTTCATTGACAATAGAACTTTTGCACATTAGATCTTATTTGTATCTACTTAATATGTAATTATTTCACTTTAATATAAAACTTAAGACTCTTCTTTCAAAACATAGCTCAAAAATAGTAAAAATGCCTAATGGAAATTGTATTTACTTTCCAGAAAAATTGAAAAGAAGGCATGCTTCACAATTTCATAGGTGACAAAAATCTCTTACATTTCGAGTGACTTCTGGTCCCCTTTAAAGGGTTTTTAAATTGTATGTATTTCATTATCTTAGGAAGTTGAAGGTCCTATCAGTCTATTTAATTGTATATTTCTGACAATATAATGAAAGAACGTATTTGGCAATGAATGCTGAACGTGTTGATTAAACGGATCCCACAAACACTGATCATTATTTTGGTGGAAATATTTACAAGCATTTAGTCACTGACTTCTTACAGTTGCTTCTTGTTAGCTTCCAGGTTTTACAATTCCTTTACAAAGGTGTGGAAAACAGACATCCACTCTCCTTTTTGAGAAATTACATGACAGGCTGTGGTGTGAACACAAATGAAGACGTTTGGAAGTTAATGACTTTAAGATCAATTTTGTTGCTAAACTTTCGTTGTTTCTTAAATGAAAATGTATGGGTTTCACCCTTAAATACTCTCACCCCAATTGACACATGCCTCCTCCCCATTTCGGTCCCTGGCAACCGGTAAAGTTGAAGGCTCCGCGGCGCTAAGCCCCAAAAGGCGAATAGCATTAAACCACTTTCCTTCCCTTCTCCCCTTACAGCCACCCCAGACAGCGTCCATGGCAAACAGTGGCCAAGGCCACGCTCAGTCATTCTCGCCTCGGAGCCAGCCTTACACTGCGAGGCGCCATTCTCTCCCCAAGCAGAACAGGCTTCAGGCCGCGGTCAGCGGCCAGGCCTACAAGACAAAAGCCAGGAGGAGTCTGAAGGTGCAGTCTGCCACACATCTCCAGGGGTGAGGTGGGTCGAGAATGGCCCGGGTACTGGACAAGCACTGGGTATCTCAACCTAGTTTTCCCATCCGGCGGTGAGGCTTGGCGTCCCCGGACTCCGCAACGGAACTACAATCCCCAGTACCGTGGCTGCCCGGACTCCCGGAAGTCGAGCACAGGCGGGACGGAAGCAGCAGGGACCCCGCCAACTGGCCGGGGGTTAATTCAACAAGAAAAAGGGGGCGGGAAGAACTGCAGGGCACCTGTCAAGTCGCCACCATGAATGTGGTTTTTGCTGTGAAGCAGTACATTTCCAAAATGATAGAGGACAGCGGGCCCGGTATGAAAGTACTTCTCATGGATAAAGAGACGGTGAGTTTGCTTTTGCTCGGTATTTGTTTGTGGAGGAGCCCTCCCTCCCTTAGAATAGCTGGTCCCATTCCGTTGCAGGATTTAGTGTTTCATTAAGGATAATGACGGTCAGTGCGGTGTGGAACTGAAAAGTTGTAAAAAGCTTTCCCAGTGGGCTTTCGTCTAAATGGCTCTACCCGCTGCTCAGAGACTTCTTGTACCCGAAGCAATGTCTCTGCCAAAAAATCATTAATATGTGAGTCCGAATGCTTGGAAGACTTTGGGATACCCCTGGTATTTGCACTCAACCAGTAAAACTGTTGGGACTCGAGATGACAGGTTGTTTGGCCACAGATTTGGCCACAGACTTAAGAAAGGAAAAATAAAAACGCTTTGAGGCAATGGAAAAAATATTTTTAGAAGTTTATGAAAAAGAAAATGAAAAGAGCATGTTTTTCATTCATTCTGGCACATTAGTACCTGTTTTGGGTGGTCAGTAAATGATAATTCATAAGTTAGTATTTAAATTACCCAGCTAAATATTAATGAGAAAAGACTTAAATGTTGATGCTGTTTTTACTATTCTGAACTAGCATGATCTTAGTCAATTCTTTTTCTTTACAGACTGGCATAGTGAGTATGGTATACACACAGTCAGAGATTCTTCAGAAGGAAGTGTACCTCTTTGAACGCATAGATTCACAAAATCGAGAGATCATGAAACACCTGAAGGCAATTTGTTTTCTTCGCCCTACAAAGGTACTACATTAACTGAGCTGCCATCTGCCCAGGCAAATGCAGAACACTCTAACCTGAAAGCATTAAGAAGGCAAAATAAATTATTGTCATTTGTTGCATCATAATTATCCTGGTTTGTCAGTTATAACCTTTATTCTCCTTGCTATAGCTCAGTTCACCCCTTATAACCAGTTTTTCCTTCAAGAGAGTTTTTTTTTAGGTTCACAGCCATTCGCAAAGCCACTAACTACTCTAGTAGAGACCTGCATTACTTTATTCCTGTATTAACTGCCATATCTATTACTGAACACCATTTCTACTTAATCTTACAGAAAGCTGTTAGTATTTTGAACCTTTTCCATTTTATTTATATCTATGCTTAGGAACACGTAATGGTTCAATTTTACTTCCATGATTAAACCTATTATTTAGTGGCTTAGCAGTCAAAGGCCTCTTTTGCAGGATTGGTCTTCCCTTACATATCCAGCCTTCCTGTGTCCCTATTCTGCTCTCCACTACAGGCCTCTTTATCATCCCTCTACATGCTCATTCCTATCCCTCATTTGTTCTCATCCCCTATTAAAGTTTCTTCATCCCTTTGTCAGTTTTTGTTCTTCTAAATCTAGCTTGAGTATCTCCTTTAAAAATCCTTTGCTATTTCAATCTTATTTTGTATACTCTCATTTCATATTCATGTTCTTCAACTCTAACGCACTTTTATCACGCTTATACACTATATATTTCCAAAAATGCAAATGTGATCATGTTACCCCTGCTTGAAATCCTTGAATCATTGTTTATGAATATAGACAAAACTCTTTCCTTGTTACCTTCAAAACCTGAAAGCTCGATGTGATCTAGTTCCTTTTTTGGGGGTTAGTGGGTAGTACTGGGGTTTGAACTGTAGGCCTTTCCCTAGGTAGACACTCTACCTCTTGAGCCATGCCCCCAGTCCTAGTTCCTACCATTTCTCTAGCATCATTACAAACCATTCCCTCTTTTGTACTCTGTACCTTGGCCACCCTAATCTTTCAGTCCACTGTATTTCCCCTTGTTCCATCATGCCACAGGACTTTTGCATGGTCTCCTCTCTCTGCCTAAAACTTCACTTCATTAAGAAAACCTTCCTTGGCTTTGATGAACAGGTCAAACCCCTCTTATAAACACTGAACAATCTTCTTCTTCCTGTCACTTGCCATGGTTGAAGAAATATAGTTTGTTATTGATTAATATTCCATCTCACCTACCAGCAGTAAACTCCATGAGAGCAGAGATTGTATATGTTTTTTCACTATTATGTCCTCAATACTTGCTATATAGAAGATACTCATTAAATAGTTGCTGAATTAATGAATACATGTTGATTCACTTTTGTAGCTCTTAGTCATAAAATTTTGGCTCAAGAAGCATCTAGAGATCATTTAGTTTGTTATTTCCTAACCTTTTTTTTTTAATGAAAGAACCTCTTTCACAGCAATATATACTCTCTTAAACTGTCTTAGGCTTCATTTTGTCATTGTAGCTAACATAACATATTATGAGAAGTAATTTTAGGGGTTTTTTTATTTTTATTTTTTGGTGGTACTGAGTTTTGAACCCAAGGCCTCACGCTTGCCAGGTAAGCACTTAATTTTAGGTTTAAAATATTTGTTGTTAAAAATTATTTATGCCAAGTGTGGTGATACATGTGTATAATCTCAGTACTTGGGAGACTGAGGCAGGAGGATCAGAATTCAAGGTCAGCCTGGGCTATATAGTGACACTCTGTCTCAAAAACAAATTGTCCTTAAGATTATATCATAAAGTTAATTTTTAATGCATCTTAAATCTAAATGAAAATTTGTAAAACTTTTGCCCATGTAATAGGCCATGTGCATTTCCTAAAATGTTTTTAATATGATAAAGAAATATGTTTTCTGTGTGTGTGATGCTGGCAATTAAACCTTGAGTCTTGCATATGCTAGGCAAGCACTTTACAAATTGAGTTACATCTCCAGCCCTGATTTTTTTAAAAAAAAGTTTAAAAAATATTTCATGTTTAGTTTGGGTTACTAATTTATAGAGAAATTCAACCAGTGTTTTAGTATCAAAAACAGATAAGAAATTGTGATCTTCTGTAGTTATAATTCTCATGTTTTGATCATATAAAAAGAACTTATTTTTGCTTCTAACATTCATATTTTATTTTAAAATAATGCAGTTATGGAAAAGGTCTCAGCCTACTGTTTGCAAATACTTCCAAACATTGCAGTTGTGCAAACGCTTAGGTCCCAATAATAAGTAAAAGCCCAAGTGAATATAGCTAGCCATATTTTCTCTTGGATGTTTTTAAAGGGCTACACACATTTTGATGTTCTAAGTAAGAATTTTTATCTCATGAATACAACTTATAGACAAGCATCTTGAGGCAAATTTGCACATTATTATCAATTTTATGTTGTATTTCAGCATGTGTCCTTTATATTTTTTATCTTAATTTGACCAAGAAAATGCAAATAGTTAATATTCAATATTGTATGTATAATAATAAATTATATGTATGATTCTGATCATTATATTTAATGTATTTCTTTTTTGTCCCTGGCCCTTCCTGCCCAACATACACATAATTTTGACCTCAGCATACAGGAGACTCTCAATAATACATCAATCAATGGATGATACTTACTACTTTTTTACTGAAGAAACTCTCCTTATATTTTATTTGTTCTTTATTTTCTAGGAGAATGTGGATTATCTGATTCAGGAGCTCCGAAGACCCAAATATAGTATATATTTTATTTGTAAGTATGTTAGTTCACTTTTTCAATCATATATGTATATCCCAGCTAGTATGTTCCAGTGAGTACTTCGTGTCATCAAATTCATTGAATTCACTATAAAAGTCTGATTTATTTAGCATCCTTTCAAAGTATAAAAAATATTTTGGCCAGAATATAATTTCCATTCATCATTGATTGCTTAAATCAAAAACTTCTAAGTTTTACTTTGCCTTTCAAGATGCTTTTCTAAGTCAAACGATAGAAAGTAGACAAATTTCACATCCCATCTCCACTAAAAAAAAAAAAAGTGTTTACTTATTTCTGTGTTTTACTTATGAATTGAGGCATAGAAGCTGATTTTATTTGGGGTATGGTAATACTTGAGTTTGTTGGAAAAAGAAATTTATATTACATACCATATGGAAACATCCCACTTTTCTTTGTCACTTTTCTGTCATGTATGAAAGTACAAATCTTCAGGTAGTTATTTTCTAGTCTTCATACTTTCTGCTTTGGAAACTGCACCTTTTCTCCTCTAGATGTCATTATTGACCTTTGAAGGATTTGTGTAGCCTATTTGGTAATGTTTCCAAAACCAAGGACCAAACTTAACACTCATTAAGTAGGGCATTTAAGAGGTTTAAAAGCTTTAGAGTTTTAGGATTTAGACTACAGTCTAAGACTACGTATTTTTCTTCAATATATATGACTTCAATAATAATACCCAATATTAACATGTGTAATAAGACAATATTTTTAAAGAGTTGTCTCATTTTATTTTATTTGACCCTTTAAAATACCCCAAATGGCAAAAAGAGGCTATTTTATTAGTTTCTTTTCCTAGTTTTTGTTTGTTTATTTTTGTTTTGTGCAAATAGTCACAGTTTTTCTTTTTCAATTAGACTTTTTTTATTTTTTAAATAGTTGTAGAGTCATATGGTTTGCCCCCTCCAAACTCATGTTGAAATTTAATCCTTATTATGAGATACTAAGAGGTGGGACCTTGAAGAGGTAATTAATGCATTCATATGATTGATGCATTAATACATTATTTTAAGGGTGAGTGTGCTATAAAAGCCAGTTTGACTAGGTTTCCTTGTCCCTCACTATATGATGCCCTTGTCTACCTCAAAACTCTACCAGCAAGAAGGCCCTCACTAGATGCGGCCCATAGACTGGACCAGAACTATAACCCAAAATGAACCTCTTTTTCTCTTTAACTTACCCAGTAGTAGTATTGTGTTATTACCAACAGAAAACAGACTTAAAACACCATGTGGCTGTAAAAAATAATACAGAGGTTCCATACAACTTTTACCAAGTTTCCCCTAATATAGCATCTTACATGACCACAGTACAGTTACCACAACCAGGATACATTCAGGCTACAAAACATTTCTGTCTCCACAAGAATCTCATTGCCCTTCTGTTAACTACATTCTCTTCTCTTCTACCCCAATGTCATCATTAACTCTGGCACCCACTAATCTGTTCTATATTCTAGAATTTTTATAATTTCAAGAATGTTCTATAAGTAGAATCCCACAGTATGTAGCCTTATGGAATTGGCTTTTTTCATTCAGCATAATTCTGTGGAGATCCATTCAGTTTGTGTATATCAGTAGTTCACCTCTTTTTATTGCTGAGTAGTATTCCATTGTATGTTTGTTTAACTATTCACCATTGATGAACATCTAAGTTGTTTCCAGTTTGACCACTATAAATAAAGTCGCTGTAAACATCTCTGTACAGTTTTTTGTGTGAATATAGTCTTCATTTCTTTAAGATAAATAATGTTCAGTAGTGCAAGTTCTGGGTCATAAGGTAGTTGCATGTTTCATGTTTCAAGAAACTGCCAAATGTTTTCCAGAATAACTATACCACTTCACATTTCCACTAGCATGAATGCGTGATCCAGATTTTTTGTATTCTCACAAGCATTTGATGTTGTCTCTATTTTTTTATTTTCACCAATATGATAGGTATGTAGTCATTTCAGTATTTTTAGTCTGATCACAAGCTAGATAAACTGAATGGGGTCTTGTGGTCAAAGACCCATCTGTCCTCTAAAAAGAGTTCTTTCATGTAGCAGTGAAGATTAACACAGATAACCTAGTATTTACTCATCTAGTTCTGGAGATTGTTTGATTTGGGCTATAATTCTATGAAGAAGAAGAAAAAATTATTTAGTACTAAAGCCTATGAAAGGACTGTTGAAATTTCTGAGGTGGGGCAATCAGTTTCAAAATTTTACTTGTTGAAGTTAACTAAAATAGATTTGTAGATAGGAATTTTATTCATTACAAACTTTCAGCACAATTTATATTAGCACTAAACTGACCTGTTCATCTCATTTTTGATAATTTTATTTTTGTATATTTTTAGGTCTACTAAATCTCTTATCTAACAAACCCCTCCTTTTATTAAAAAACTTTTATTGTGGAAAATTTCAAATGTATACAAAAGAAAAATAGTATAATAAATTCCAGTGTGCTCATCACCCAACTTCAATAATTATTGAACAGTGCCCAATCTTGTTTTAGCTATGCTACCACCTTATTACACACCGATATTATTTCGAAGCAAATATAAGAAATCATATAATGTCATCCATAAGAATTTCAACATGCATCTCTAAAAGATACAGACTCGTTATTACATCCAAATAAAAATTAAAAATTCCTTACTATTTTCAAATATTCCTTCAGTATTCAAATTTCAAATTCTATTGCATCTTTTCTTCATTGATTTTTTGAATCATGATCAAAATATGGTCCATACATTGTTATTGGCCCATATGCCATACAATTTAATTTATTGAAGAAGCTATTTAAGTGTTCCATAGCCTGGATCTTCCTGATTACATCACCATGGAGGTAGTTTTACATGTTCCTTACAGTTTAAAATGTTTCTCTGTCCTTGTACCTGTAAATTCATAGATGGATGTAGAGCTAAAAGTCAGATTAAGTTTGAATTTCTTTCTTTGGCAAGAATACTTAATAGGCTATATTGTATTATTTCATTGGTTGTTTCTTCTTGTGATATTAGTAGCTGTTGATGCTCTGTGTTTACAGGTCTCTCTATTGATTCACTAGAGGTGAGAAAAATGATGATATTCTAATTCTGTCATTAACATTCATTCTTCTTTGTTCTTTGTTTTTGTGGGGGGGGGTTGTTGTTGTTGAGACAGAATCTTGATGTGTAGCCCAGGCTGGCCTGGAACTCACTATCCTCCTGCTTCAGCCTCACCAGTGCTGGGATTATAGGCATGCACCACCATGCCTGGCTTTCTTCTTTTTTTTTTAGATGAAATCTTTTTATAAAGAAAATGTTCCAAGAATTGGAGATGTAGCAGTATGATTGAGTGCTTGCCTAGCATGGGCAAGACCCTGGGTTTAAACCCCAACACTGAAGAAAAAAAATAAGAAAAATTTCCCCTCATCTACTGTTCGGTACAATTTACAAATAAAAGAAAGGAGAAAAAGCTTCCTTCGTAACCTTGCTTTGCTATTATCAATGTAATGACTTGGTTCCCTAGGTCTCCAATGGTGGTTTTTTTTTTTTTGTATTATTATTAATTTACGGATTTAAACATATTTGTGCTACTCATTACAATTTGAAATATGTGACTTTGGCATATGTGTACTAAACTTTGCTGACTCATTAAGTTTTAACTGTCAGGCCTATTTATGTCTATTTGCCGCAGATGTAATCTCTTTTGAGTCAAATGCAGTCATGTGTCTGTTTCAGATTTCAGTAACGTGATCAGCAAGAGTGATGTGAAGTCATTGGCTGAAGCAGATGAACAGGAAGTTGTGGCTGAGGTTCAGGTAACATGTTGGTCCTATAACACATCTCTTATATCAGCTTTAGAAGATTTTAATATAAAAATGAGGAAGCTGCTTTCTCAAAAGAAGGGGGTAATTGATCAGACAAAATCAATATGCATCGCTACTTATATTTAGGAAGTTCGGAAAACATATCAAATTGTGTTGGGAAGAAGAGTTGGCTGATGAACTGGTAGGAAGGACTTGACAGGGTTGGGACAGGCGGGTTTGTCCTATGTTAGTTTTATGAGTTACACCGTAAGAATGTTCATCAATGGAACTATGTCTCATTGGGATAATAGGAAGCAAAGGTTGTAAATGAGGTTTCATAAAGTTACTGTTTGTTATTTTCATGCTTTGGGAGGTAGTAAGCAGACTTTTGTCATTGGGTTAAAATTTAGAAACTCCTAAACATTTATTCAGCATGCTATATATAGTATATCACATTAGGACATACTATGTTACCTTTTCCTTCTTGAATACTTTAGTGTTCTTGAATACATTTATCACAAACACTTGATACATTTGAAAAATATTGTCTTCACAGGCAGCAAATAAAATAGTTTTGAATTTTTCAGAAGGATGTACTAGATGACAAAAGGATAAAAAAAGAATGACCTTTTAAAAATCATATTCTCTCATGAGAATACAAAGTTCTTTTTTATCTGCATATAATATAACATTGTGTATCCTATATTAATGTTTTATTTTTACTAATTGGTAAATGCATAGAGGTCTCCAGAAATGTAATGTGCTTACCTCTGCAATTTTGTTTTTTAGAAGATTTATCATTACTGCTGGTGTTTTATAGTTATTTTAATTCCCCCACACTATTATTTGAAAGTTTTGCATCTTTTTTACACTGATATGTTACCATCTGATTTTGTCATATAGCATTATATAACATGAAAATATTTCTGCTTGATACAATTGGAGTTCCTAGAAAGACTGATTGTGGTACTTTATTTGCAGGAATTTTATGGTGATTACATTGCTGTGAATCCACATTTGTTTTCCCTCAATATTTTGGGTTGCTGCCAGGTATGGAAGGAAAGGATTTTAAAAAATAAGTTAATTCATCAGGTGGGAATTAATTCAGCAAGTAATTGGACAGATAAGAAAGAATTCAGATATTTTCTTTGAACATATATTTTTAACAAAAAGGGTCGAAATTGGGATCCAGTCCAGCTCTCCAGAACAACTCAAGGACTGACAGCTCTTCTTTTATCTCTGAAGAAATGTCCCATGATTCGTTATCAGCTTTCATCAGAGGCAGCAAAGAGACTTGCAGAATGTGTTAAGGTATGGCATTTCCTGTCCCTGACTCCAAAACAGTCTGTTCATGTCCCTATCATATTTCAGAAACTATCAGGAATATTTTCTCTACAACCAAGGAGTTGATTTGTTAGGTTTACCTGCAAAGAAGCAGGTCTATATAATTCAAAAGAAAAAAAGCAACAAATTAGAGCCAAGACTCTTAGGTTTAACCTAAGAAACATACACATGCTATTTAACTTTTTTTTTAACAAAAGTGTTGTTTGTTTTTTAATTTAATAGTTAAGCCACATGTAAAGTAGGGTTTCAAGTCCTAAACTTTTAAATAGTACACTATAAAACTCTGTAAAACTTTTGAATCCTTTTATGGAAAGCCTACAAGGGTGCAAATAACTGCTTAAATGTGTTTTTTATTAACTTCCTATTTTAATCATCTCTATATGCAACTAATTAGTTAACCAAACCATTTTCACTCTTATCTACAGCAAGTGATAACTAAAGAATATGAACTGTTTGAGTTCCGGCGGACAGAGGTTCCTCCATTACTACTTATTTTAGATCGCTGCGATGATGCCATCACCCCATTGCTCAACCAGGTACAGAGCCCTTTCTTAGCATAAAGAAGAATGACTTTTAAGTGATGTTCATCAAAATACAGATATAGAAGTAACAACATGGTTCATTCTATTTACCTCTTTATTTTTATCCATTTTTGTTTTTTGCCTTGTATTTCCTTGTGTTTTAGCCATCACTACATTTCTAGCTACAGTCATTGTTAACTCCTTCTTCTGCCTTATCCTAACTATCCCTTTCTGCACAGCTCCTACTCCTAATCAAGGCAACTTCTAAACTGTGAGTTCTAATTTCCAGTGTTTCCTGTTTGCTCTTTTGCAGTCTTACTGTTTATTGCCTTGATGTAGACCCTGATCTCTTGCAGAAATAGTAATCTATTTGGATCCTTACTTTTAATTTCTTTTCACTAATGTATTCTACAAACCTAATGTTGTTAAATTACTTTTCCTAAAGTACTACTCTAATTCTATTATTCCTGTCTTAAAAAATCTTTTTTGGTTCCCATTTGCCTACTGGGTTAAAAATAAACTCCTCAATTTGGCATCCAGGAACCTTCACAGTGTGTTCCAAATCCCATACAAAACCTACAGCTCACTGCTGCATAGATGCCACATGGTTTCTTGCCATCATGCTTTTACTCTGACCATTTTCTAAACTCTGAAAAGTTTGGAATATTTTCTCTTACCATCTTTCAGCTATCAAAATACTTCTCCTTAAAACCACCCAACAGTGTTGAGGGTGTGGCTCAAGTTGTAGTGTACCTGCCTAGCAAAGTGCAAGGTCCTGAGTTCAATCCCCAGAACTGCCAAAATAAAAGATTAAAAAAGGACACTTAAAAAACCATATAACATATCCTTGGAGACTATTCTTTCAGTCAGACATGTTCTTTTTCCCTAAAATCATTGTAGAAATGTATGTCTCTATTGAATCTCCTACTGCACTTGCCAAGTTGTACCTTTGGTTGTTTTCACCCTCTTGTAGGTTATACATTCCTTTAAGACATCTGTGCCTCACCAGTATGTATTCTCCTGCAAGTATAAGTGCAGTTCCTTGCACATAGTAGGTGTTCTATTAATAGTGACTTTGGATTTATAGGAAAGTCATAATCTATGTTTCTATTTCTTCCCAGCTTATACTAATGTTAAAATGCTAAGGAAAATCTGTGACTGTGGAATAAAACTTCTTTATAGAATATGGCAACCCTGTATTCTTAAAATAAAGCAATATATGTTCACTAAAGAGACTTTTGATATTATAAAAAGGTAGAAAGAAGAATAATTGCCTATAATTCTGTCTCCCAAAGAAACACAACTGTTCATTCAATAAATTTCACTAACAACATGTTATGTGCCATGTATTGAACAACGTACTGGAGATAGGTTAAAAATAGTCTCTGCCCTCAAAGAGAGCTCATGGTTCAATAAGGAGAGAAGAAAACAGATAATTTTAATTATAGAGTAAGTGCTGTGGTAGAAGCATAAAACTTTTTGTACTTCATTTAAATGCCCTAATGGAACTTGCTTTTTCAAGGATTCCTTTGACAAGTCTTTTAGGAAATAAAGCATCTTCATTTGCTTTTTAAATTATTTCTTAATAAATTTAGTTTCTTTAAGATAAAATATATGCATATAAATGTCTCTAGCATTTGGATTCTAGATTTAGAGGGTAATTTGCTGGAAAATACTTAGCTTTGTATAATGGACCTGTGACTAACGGTAATCCATTCTCTATGAATGGTAACAAGGCAGAATTTGGGGATTGCTTTTTTTTCAGTTTTACCAAATAAATTTACATTTTTTTTTAAAGATTGGAAACAAATCCCTCTTCACAATTCATACTAGGTAGAACTATAAAATAAAATGTGTTCAGAGGCAAGTTTCTGAATATGCTAGTGTTTTGATTAACTCACAAGGTTTTTTCTGATAATATTAGTGTTCCTAGGATAAATATAGCAAGAACACACTTCTCATGCTGCAGAAAACCACAGAAGCATACAGGAAATGGTACAGCTTGTAACTGCAGTACCAATATAGCCCTATCTGTGAAGCCAAAAATATACTTTTAATTCACAGGCAAAAATCAGAGCTAATGATAGACCTAATTTGTTTTCTTTCTATCAAGAAGATTCATCTTGCTGCCCGTCTTTTAAAAGTGTAAAATCTAAAAGTATTTTGACTTTTGGGTATTTAACCAATTAAAATAACAACCTTATTACTTACTACAGCACAAAGAATTAATAAAATTTGAACTAAATAGAGAATCTTCATGTAAAGCAGACTAACATTAGAGTGTTACCAATTTTTATTTGTTTTCCTGAACATTTACTATTTCATGTTTGGTCAGTTACCACCTTTTTTGTTATAATTATTTAGTGGACATATCAGGCCATGGTCCATGAACTACTGGGCATAAACAACAATCGGATTGATCTTTCCAGAGTGCCGGGAATCAGTAAAGACTTAAGAGAGGTGGTCCTATCTGCTGAAAATGATGAATTCTACGCTAACGTACGTGGTCTTAAATTTTTAGAATTTAAAATTTTAGTTGCATAATTCTTTTTATGTAAGAAGGTCAATATTGGCTTGAGATTTCATGTGAAAGGTTGATAAGAGGCATCCTATAAATTGGCTATATCTCAAGTAAAGCAAAAGACTTGGATTCTGACCCTTTAACATTTTTTTCTTCATAGAGATCACATAGTTATTTACTTCCCTCCCTTCCAGTAACTCTTTGTGAGAATAATAATGGTATTCATTGCTAGTGTCTTGGCTAACACCCAAATTTGGTAATTAAAATGGAATTTGCCCTTCAATTCCATGTTCAAGATTCTTTTCAGTTCTTCTTTTAAATTGTCTGAGAGTTAGACTAGTTGATGAACTGTACTTCCAACTTCCTTTTCCACAGAACATGTACCTGAACTTTGCTGAGATTGGTAGCAATATAAAGAATCTCATGGAAGACTTTCAGAAGAGGAAACCAAAGGAACAGCAAAAACTAGAATCAATTGCAGATATGAAGGTAAATCAAACAATACACAAGTGACTTATATATGAGACTTTGGAGCTTCTCATATAAGCAATATTTCTAGAATATTTTCTAGAATATTCTGGATCTGATTTCTACTTTGATTCACTTTGTCTTGAGACATTTTCTGTAACATCTCCTCTTTAATAAACAATGCAGTGAAAAATTCTCTAAAAAATAACTAAAGCAGGGTAGGGGAGAGGGAGGAGGCAGGGGCCTGGTAGGAGAGATGGCCCAAATAATGTATGTACATATGAATAAATGAATAAACAATAAAAAAATAACTAAAGCAAGAAGAAATAATGGCTTAAGTGGTAGAGCATCTGCCTAGCAAACATGAGGCCCTGAGTTCAAACCCCAGTACTGAGGGGAAAAACAAAAAATATGACTCAGTTTATTGATACAGACTTAAGTATAGCAAAATGCCATGTGATTGAGAGTTGTAGATGCCTTAGTCTGGGCAGAAAAACAACTCCTGCTTTTTAAAATGACGTCTTCATACATGCCTATCCTCAGTTAAAAAGTAACACAATTTTCCACTGATGTATTTTCCGTGCAGGCCTTTGTTGAGAATTATCCACAGTTCAAGAAGATGTCTGGGACTGTATCAAAGCATGTGACAGTGGTTGGAGAATTGTCTCGGTTGGTCAGTGAGCGGAATCTGCTGGAAGTTTCAGAGGTTGAACAAGAACTGGCCTGTCAAAATGACCATTCTAGTGCTCTCCAGGTCAGTCCAATTTGCTGAGCACCTTCTATGTATAAGGCATTGTGCCAGGCAGAGCAAGAGATGCAAAGGCAAGTAATCCTTCTTCACCAACATAGAATTTAGTTTAATAAGGAATTGAGACAAGAACACAAGTAAACATCATTTAAAATGGATATATAATAAGAGCCACAGAAGTATCACATGCAGTCCCCAAGGGATCAGTCACTTAATCATTTGTAAGGGTAGCCTGGTTTACTAGAAAGAGCATTAGGCCAGAATCAGAAGATCTTGATTTTTGGTGCTTAGCTTACTACTTACTGACTTTGTGACCTAGAGCTGTTGACTTAATCTCTGAGCCACTTTCCACATTTGTAAAATAGGTTTAATAATACTTACCTCACAGGGTTATTAGGAAGACTTTTAAAGATAAAATGCACATTAAAATGCATTATCTAACTTTTTTTTTTAGTTATTGAAGATTGCTTTTTATCTGCAAACAAATGAATGCCTGTTCATGTACATTCTGTTATGGCAATCTGGGAGTACAAACATGAATAAGATACCATACTTTTCCTCAGTGTGTCCACATTGTAGAAAGGGAAAAGAAGCTGGGCACCAGAGGCTCATGCCTGTAATCCTAGCTCCTCAGGAGGTAGAGATCAGGAGGATCACGGTTCGAAGTCAGCCCAGGCAAATAGTTCACAAGACCCCATCTCAAAAAAACCCATCACAAAAAATGGCTGGTGGAGTGGCTCAAGGTGTAGGCCCTGAGTTCAAACCACAGTACCACCAAAAAAAGAGAGAGAAAAAGAAATTATTAGGAATTATAATAAAATGCAATAAATGCTATAGTCAAGGTATTCACCAGGGAATATCGAAATAGAGGAAGAACAACTGATTTCCCCAATGATGAGGCTTCTTAAAGTTTCTTAGAGAAGTTGACATGAAAATTGGGTCTGGACAGATAAATAAGCAGAGAAAAAAAGGAGTATTCTCACTCTGAGAAAATGCAGGCATGGAGGTGTTCTGTGTAGTTTTATATATAGATACTAAGTTCCATGTAGGTAGTGCAGGGTACAATCTGAGGAGTGATTTTAGATCAACTAGAAGGATAAATTGGGACTAGGTTATGGCCACTGAAAGGAAGTTGGGCTTTAATCTTAAAATGATGGAAGCTACCAGAGGATTTTAGAAGAAAAGTGACATAATTAGGGCCTTCCTCAAGAAATTTATAGTCCAGTTAGAGATGAAGCTAAAACACAAGAAAAAATTCGATGATATTTCAAGACAATATTTAACTGAGTCACGCTGGGCACAGTAGCTCACGCCTGTAATCCTAGCTAATCCAGAGGCAGATATCAGGAGGATCACAGTTCAAGGTCAGCCCAAGCAAAACGTTCAGGAGACCCCATCTTGACCAACATAAAGCAGGTTGTGGTGGCATATGCCTGTTATTCCAGCTACATGGGAAGCATAAATAGGAGAATCATAGTCTAGGCAAATCAGGCATAAAAAAACATGACACTCTATTCAAAAAATAACTAAAGCAAAAAAAAACTAGATGAGTGGCTCAAGTGGTAGAACACCTGCCTAGCAAGTGCAAGGTCCTGAGTTCAAAAATAAATATATATGTGTGTGTGTCAAAATTGAGGTTACTAGTGATAGTTTCTTAGAAAAGACAATATTAAGATAGGCAATAAAGAATGAATAGACTATGATATATTGTAATAACGTTTATAAATGTCACAATGTACCCCCAGTGTAACAATAATATGACAAAAAAGTATAAAAATGAATAGAATTTAGAGAGGAATTTCAATCAAGAATAATAGCAAAAGCAAAGATGTGTAAGTATGCAGGAAATAATAAACTTTGACTTCTTGATCAAAGTGCGTATGGAATAAAATGGAAGTTAAAATCGAATTGGTTTAAAAAAAAAGAACCAGTATAGGAAGAAGCTTGTGAGAGAAATTTGTACTTGCTGAGACAGGCAAAGAGATCCAGTGTAGGATCTTATTTAGCAAGTTAATGTTATGAAAGCAGTATTTTAGGAAATTTAATCTAGTAAGGATGTATTAGAGGTGAAAAAACTGAAGTCAGATGGGCTTGTAGACCTACAGTGATATAGTAAGGGACAAATCTGGGACACATTGAGAAGAGAAAAAAGAATCGAGTGACAAATTGGATATAAGAATAAAAGAACAAATCAGAGGTAATTAATTCCAAGGTTCCTGAGAAAGGACAAAATCATTCTGTCAAAATGACAACAAAAAAAAAATGACTTATTTGTCAAAGACACTACTGACAAATAAGTGATTTAGGAAAAAGTCCTTGGGGAGTTAATCATTTCTAAGTCACTTACAAGATGCACATTAATAGGATCCCAATATTCTAAAACTTCATTTCTTTCTTTCTTTCTCTTTTTCTTTCTTTTTTTCTTTTCTCTCTTTTCTTTCTTTCCTGTAGTTCCACTTTATTTTATAATATAATGCCAACCTGGTATGTTGGAAACAGCATAGGCTTTGGAACCAAATTGTCCTGGCTTATATCCTCTCTCTACTTTCCAAAGTTCCTTTGGGAAAATTACCTTCTTTGCCTATGTGTCAGGGATAGTGATTTCGAATTTTCACATTGTTACTAGGATTCAACATGATATATAAAATGCTTCACATATGATAGATGCTTTGTAAATGTTGCTTCCCTTTCCTTAAGTGTAATTTTTTTTATACATTGATATAACCAAAAGAAAGTGATCTACATATGGATGCTCTATTATAACAAGGTCTTTACTATAATTTACAGGGTTTTGTTGTTGTTGTTTTGGTTTGGTTTGCGTTTGGTATGGTTTGTTGTCCCCACACCACCACCATCTTTTGTTATTTGAGACAGACTCTTGCTGTGTAACCCAAGCTGACCTCTTAACTATTGAGCTTTCTGTTTCAGCCTCCCAAGTGCTGGGATTCATAGGCATGTGCCATCATGCCCACAACAGTTTTTGTTTTTAATTTTTAAAATATTTACAAAAATTTCCTCTGAAAACACCACCACTTTGATTATGAAAATACTATTTGCTTTATATTTGTGTAATATGTTCTTCCTCACTATTTTAATTTTGCCCGTTTCCCTAAATCTTTGCAAAGAACTCTGTTTTTTAGATTGACTTTATTTTTTAAGTGTATTAACTTCTACTTCTTAAATAGATAATATAAGGATTTGGTGAAAGAAGTGTATAGTAAAAACTGAGTCTGTTATTCCATACATGTGCAAGGCTCTGTATGTGTTTGTTTCTTTTTTTAATTCAACTGATACCATACTATACACAGAGTTCTGCATTTGTTTTCTCATTTAACCATATGTCAGTGACTATTTCAGATCAAACCCTAAAGATTCACTTTTAATTGCTAAATATAATCCTTTGTAAAGATGTATAATAATCTATTTAACTTAGCCAACTTACTTTAAACAACCCTCCTAATAATAGTTTATTGTTTTGTGGGCCTATTAGAAGTGTTTCTCTATCTCAATAAAATGTTTTCTGCCTCTTATTAAATAAAAACAAAATTTTGTCCTATAACTAAATTTAAATTTCCTTATATTTCTTTATCATTTGGTTTTTTTCCTTCAACACAATAGAACCAAACTTAATCACTATCCAGTTTTTAGTATCTTTATTTGTATCTCTCTATTGTATGGAAATCAACTGGAAAAAGTTATCCTAATTCTTTGCCTATAACTTTGGTTTTTGTTCACTTTAAAAGTAGTTACTGCACTGGGGCTGGAACTCAGTGATAGAGCTTGCCTAGTAAGGCACAAGGCTCCAGGTTTGATCTCCAGCACCACAAGTAATAATAACACAATAATAATAATAATAATAATGTGAATACTTCAAAATATGAACTATATTGGTGATCGCTTAATATTTTTCACACTTTTTTGAAGGTTTTCTTGTCTAGGGTATTGGGCTTTACCGTGAACAGTAGACTTGAATTCCTCCACCATAACAGATTCTTTGGTAACATGATTTAAATACTCCATAAAGGGAACTTTTGTTTGACAGTGGGTAGATGCCAGGGGCATAACCCCTAAATGGATTATAACATTCCTTGGCTTGACCTTAGACAATAATACGTCATAAAGCAATGAATTTAGGTTTTTGAATAAAGATGGGGTTTGCTCTATTGAATAGTAAATAAATGTATCATGGTAAGGAATGCACATATATTGCATGTTTAAAAGATAAACTATAAATTTCTGCCACTTCTAACCAGTTATCCTACAGATTAACAAAAATTTGATTCTAAAGAGAATTTCACTAGAACCAGCTTGCAGTGTACTACCATTGATGCCCATATCCTCAAGAGATCAATTTGATTAGTACTGAAGATTTTTCATAACATGAAAAGAAACAGCTTTAGAAAGTAAGCAATCTCCATGTCCCCGTAGTCACATTATAGCTTTTCATTTGAAAGAAGGAACCACTCTATTCTATATCCTTCTTTCTTGACCTTGGATTAAAAAAAAACCAAAAAACCTCATACTGTTAATGACACATAGTAGAGAAATAAAAATAATAAATATTTGTTTAAAAAATGATAGAAACAGACCTATTTGAAGCAACTTAGAATAGTAGCTAAGAGCTTGGACCTTTGATGGCTTAGGTTTGAAAATGATTCTTAACCATTCTAAATCCCAGCGTGTCTGTCTATAGAAACAGTGAAAATCACAGTACTTACTTCAGAGATTATGGTAATGATACAATACACGTAAAGCACTTAATATGGTACCAGATACTTATAACTTTCAACAAATATTAACTATCACCATCATGCATGTTATTATTTGGTGGTACATTCTATTTTTTTTTTTTTTGGCAGTACTGGGGTTTGAGCTCGGCTTCCCACTTTCTAGGCAGGCACTCTACCACTTGAGCCACTCTGCCAGCCCTCTATTTTCTTTATGACATCCAAGACTTGTTTTTTAGTCCACAAATGACTTTGGTTCTCTTCCTGATTTCAGAAAAT